AGTGTGTGGCGTATCCTGCCGAATATCTTCCTTTGATGAAATGAACTAGGCCCTTATGATTGAAAATTTATCACTAATTTTCGCCATTTTTGATCCTACTTTCCAGTTATAGTCCGACATGAAATGTATACTAAATGTGATGGCCATTTCCGTATGTTATAAAAACAGATTTACTGGCGCAGCAGGTCCACGTAATCCTCAACCCATTCCACGTAATCCCGTCCCATCCAGTTTTTCTCGCTAAGGTGATAATCGCTTAGCATGTCCTCATTAAGAGCCTAATTGTCCATGGGCACCTGGCTGATTGCTGTTTAAGTATACAATGTTAGAGCGAATTCCTGTTGACTCCTCGTTGACACCTAGAATTGATCAACTCCAGAACAATATGCCACTGGGGCGTTCACACTTCCGCCAATAGTTTCCCATACCTCCGTCGGCTACGCGTTACTTCGAGGAAGGAACACTCACAGCAGCTGCTGGTACTTGTCTTTGGGTGTTAATAAAAAGTAATAATAATGAGAATAATAGAACTGCAGTTGCCAACCTCTGTTGATCAATGTAGGTCAGAATGTGGCCAAGTGCCAAAAGAAGGAGGAACAAGTGCTCACTTTATTACGCGCCATGCATCAGGCTTCACTCCGAGAGTGCAAGTCTTGGAAAGGATTAGACCCAACATGGGTCGGTGCCGGCCACTCCATTGACTTTCGACCAGAAGCCTATGAGTTGAACTTTCAATGAATCTTGGCACAATGGGTGGTATTTTTGGAGCTTGTTTTGCAGCCACGGCCCAAAATGATACAAGACTTTATTGGTCAAGCGTATCGGCTTCGCCAGTGCCTGGAAAGTCAAAGATTGGTGCGATTTAGCGCAGACATTATCTCTAACTTCGAAATAGTAGATCAGAAGCATCCAGGGGGCGTCGCAAAACACAAGCACCAGTCGACTCACCTTAGAATGTACGGTAGGATTTCGCTGAGACCACCGCTATACTGGCTCACTGTGGGTGGCTTCGAGCGACCTGGCCCTTCGGCATGGAGTCGATGGCGCTTGAAAGTCCACAAAAGACTTTTGATCAGTTCCACATAAGCTCAATTTATCACCTTACTTTTTGTTAGAGATTTGATGACACAGCTTGGATGGTGTAGCGTTATCTACTTAGGCTTACCAGTGACCCTGCGCAGGCTTGACAATATAACTGAAAAGGTATGAACAATATATAGCCGAAAAATAAAACCTACGAAAGCAGGATTAATGGAAGTAGGATTGTAGCTCGGGGGGGGCAGGGGCGAGTAGGATCAAAGTTTGGAGGGCGTTAGAGTTTGGGGGTAAGAAGTGAGAAAGAGACAAAAAGAAATCGCCGACATCCAATAAACAAGGACAGTGGATTGCTGATTGGGTCAACAAAAGACTTTGGGGCGACGATAAGACTTCCAAACGAAGAACGACTAGAAGGTGAGCAGATGTCAAGAGGATAGTTAGACGCAGTTGACCGAGAGAAAGTGTCGTTAGTGTCTGTGATGTGCGGACATGATAACCAGGGGATGAGGGGATGGAACTAGTATCCGCAGCGCTAATGCTGCGCACACGTTCAAGCCAGTAGAAGCCGGAAAACATCCTACACGACTGCGGGACGTGGTCTATTAGCCGGCAGGCTTTTTTCACCACTCAGGTATGCGGAAATGGGGGGCCGTTAACTGGTTTGAGGGGCTAGTCCTTGTTGAATGCAGCGCATGACTCGCTGGTACAGAAAGTGCAGCGAACGCAGTCTTATACAATAACTATTTATTGAAGTATGTCAAGGCGAGTACGATATGAGACAGTGCAGAAATAAGGTGCGAAGCGTCCAAGGTATGGACAGGAGTAACAGGAGGAGATCCGCTGTCCAGTCCGCCGTCCGTCCTCATGGTCGAACCATCGAATGCCGTCGCGCAACCTCCCATGTTGTCATTCCTTGGTGCCTCGCCGCCATATCACTGAACGGCATCTGGAAATAGGAATTGATTATTAAGCTCCGAACATGTGATTTCCTCCCTTTACACCTCCCCTGCCACAAAAAAGTCCGTCCCGGACTTAGAATTTAGGACTTACCCTATTGTAAGGAATAGATGATTGAAGATGCTTACAGTCAATAAGTCGAGAGCGGCGGCGGCTGTGGACGAGATACAGCGATAATAATGATGAGGGGAAGGGGTTCTGTCGAGTAGATGGAGAAGATGGAAATTGAGGGTTGATGGGTAAACAAAAGTTAATGAAGTTCAGTATAGGAATAGTTGCCCTCCTTCAGTGGGTATGGAATAGGTTCTTCAGCTGGGCGGAGGGGAGGACGGCACCTGCTTGTTCAGCCCAACTTACGAGCTTTCCCCAGTGGGGTAGGGATCGCAGAGTGGGGACATGGCCCAGTATAAATTGCCCATGTCGGCAACGGGTGACTGCCACGTTGAGACGAAGGAGGTCGTCAATGAAGCCCGCAGTCTCAGGTTTTAGGCCCGTGCGAGTTGTTAACAAAATGATGACTTCTGTTTCACGACCCTGGATTGAATCCACCGTGGCAATTTCGATGTTTCGTTCCACGGCAAAGTCGAGCAGCAGTCGAAACTGCTCTCGGTAGAAGGTGACCACGCACATCTGATTGGGAAGAAGCCCGCTCTGCAGAAGCTGGTCCATCAATGTCAGGCAGGTTTCGGCCTCCTCGTCATTGAGATGAGAGCGAGTTGGTGCTTGCACGGAACTTCCCTCGACATCGATTAGGGCGAACGGCAGACGAGGGTTCGGCAGGTTGACCCGGTCCAAAAGTAGGCGACGTTCGTCCGCTGTTACTCCGCTTATTAGGGAACCACTATAGGAGAGAAGGTTAGGCAAACCGTTAAGGGCAGGGTGAGCCCTAAATGTGGTCACCAAGGCCGACTTTGGGACGGCGGGGGATCTTGCTAGTACTGTCATTACGCTTTGACCACCAAATAGTGCCGGGTTAGCATCGCTTGGGCATCTCACATGTGGTCGCATTTGGTGAACATCCCCGATATAGAGCTGGCGTGCATCAGGAAACATCGTAGTGAAGCATGCTAGGATAGGCTCAGGCACTTGGGATGCTTCGTCAACGATGATAATCTTCCGGTCCTCCAAATGATTTTTGAAGATTCCCCCTTTCGCCGTAGTGTTCAGAAGCGAAGCTGTGGTCAGGAATAGGATTTCTGGTGGGCGTAGCTCGAACATTAGCCTGACCATTTTCTTGACCGTTTCGGATACGTCCTTTTCAGCCAATATGTACTCTTCGACTTCTGCCTCTGTCATCTCCATTGAGCGTGCCGGATCTTTGGCATATCGCTCGTAGAGTAATCTGCCCCTACGGAATCGAGCACACCACTCGCGTTCTTTCGGCCGTAGCTTCCTGTCGAAGTCGTCTCCGAGGGTCTTCAAAATCTCGTGGATGTCGACCGGGGTCGACGGGGACTCATCTAGGAAGGCAGACTCTGAGACGTATCGTAGGAGCCGAATTTGCTGGAAGGTCTCGATTGCCAGTATTGTGTTCGTGAAATGGGCCACAGCGTTGTTCGTTGTCGCCGTGACTATCAGGGGTCCTCTTTGCTGCTGGACCAGTAGTCCGGCAATGATAGCGCCCAGGACAGTTTTTCCAGTTCCGAACGCGGCTTGTATCTCCGCGATTGGGTGGTTGGCCATCCCGAGCTCGAGCGAGATGCGCTGATCGGGTGTCAGAGAAATAGACTGTTGTCTGAGCCGGAAGGTATCCGGAAAAGTAGCTGATGAACTGGGCTGGTTGGAAGCGTGGGACGTCGTAGGCAAAGGTGTTGCCGGACGCTGATAAACGAGGTCAAGGATTTGGTGGCCTACTGTGCCTGGTTCCACACGGGTGACGATGTGTAGCATTCTAGAAATAGCCTCATTTGCCGGGCTTGCTGACTTGGTGGGTTTGGCCAAGCGGACGTAACCATCGATGATTCGCTGCTCATGGAGGAACCGACCATGTTTATCTAAAAGCTGAACCAGGCTTCTATGATTCCAAGTGAAACCGCAAATTCGTATCGACAAGTTGTTTGCTGTCCACGTTGAAGAAGACGGATTCCACGTGCATTTTCATTGTGTAATCCGCTCCGGGAATCCAGAAATCCAGGAGACGCCCTTTGCTCCAGCCAGCTTCCTGCGCCATATCCTCCAATATGAAGTCAAGACGGATTGGGCACATCCTGCCTTGTGGCTGAGTGAAGGTGACCCAGTGAACCGCGGTATCATCAAACATGGTAGGTATGGCCGCTAGTGTTGAGCATGAAACATTGAAAAGTCGCCCCATTTTACGCTTGGCTGTTGCGGTATCCGTGGTGTAGTTGCAGAATTCATTGGCACGGTCCGTCAACCATTCCTTGTCCTTCGGACGGAGGTTCATTACCCGGAGAGGAAGGACTCCTTCGCTCGCGTTAAGTGGGAGAAATTGGCGAACCAGTTGACATAGCTCGTCTTGTGCGCTTTGTGAGACAGGTGGTTCAGAAAATCGCATTGCGTAAGATGTAGTGACCCGGGTTTCGGCGAGAACAATGGAGTACTTGTAGACCGGCCCGAGGTCAGCATCACACAGAGACGGGGTGACAACGGCTGCTTCTGGAGCGCCTTCAAAGACGGCAAGAAACTTCGTAACGCGGCCCCCTCGGGTTACTAGATGAACAACCATTCCAAGGCTAGTCTTGTGAAGCACATGGGGTGTCACGAAAGCAAAACGATCTGCACGGAAAAAGTAGACCGATGAGGATTCCATTGCAGTAGCCCTGGGGATACGAGAGCGTTCCAAGATGGATGCCGGATCTTGAAGGGCTGCTCGTGTGGGAGTGACGGAATAGATCCACACCAAATCCTGAACTGATATCAATGATCTATCGAAGCCTCGCATATTCGTAGTCACGTCAATAGCGTATTGCTCCAGAACAATACAATGCAAGTCACGTCTATCCGGGCCGACGATAAAGAAATCTTTGGCCTCCAAAATCACACCATTGCCATAGCCTACTGCAACAACCTGGTAAAGTACCGGATGGAAGGGACCGCCAGGAGGAGGGGCCAGTGTGGACGAATATGATTTAAGGGGAGTTTGTTGATTCTCACGAACAGGTTCCTGATAATTTCCGTCCAGCGTGCTTCGAATGATTGCGAGGGACTCTTCCCGAAATCTAATGGCTGCCTCCAGAGTCTGGAGCTCCATCACCGGAACCTTGTTAGAAGGACGCGGAGCATCGCGGATATAATTTGGGAACAGCGATCGAACCCAGCGCGTGGCTTGATATCCGGCTGGAGGAATCGGTCTGTATTTGTCAAGAGGCAACTCACTGGTGACACAATCGTTTGTAATGCCCATGTATCTGTTACGGCGTGGGCGAACCAAAATAGCCCATGGGTGGAGTTGGGCGAGGTGATGGGTGTAGCCCTCGGGGGTGGCTTCTGGTAGGTTGGCTTTCCAATCATATCGCTCCTCGTTCTGTGAAGAGTTCGTCAGTGCTTGTCTGGAAAGTCCCCTTGTTGTCAAGGGGCGTCCCCAGCGTCCTCGCGTGGGAGAGCCGCGAGTATGCATGGGATTCGGTCGGGTGGCACGAGTGCCGCGGCCGGAAAAACTAGCTCCTCGTAGGGGTTCCGTAGCAGACGCAACGCTGAAGAAACGTAAGCGATGTAAGCGTCTCGAAGAGGCTGCACTGGCCGCGACCCATTTTGGAGGTGAGCAGGGCCGATAGACCGGAGGAGTTGCGCCGAACGTGAACACTGAGCCACTTGACGGTGGGGGTGGCCGAGGATCCGGAGAAGGTGGTGGGAAGCTGTGTTCCGTGGTGTCCATCGGGGAAGGGGTCAGAGCACCCTCTTCGACGTCCCCAAGGGATTCCGCCAACAACGACGAGCCTCGTGAGGCTTCTTGGTCGTTCGTGCTGGAACGTGACTCTGGTGTTCTCAAAAGAGAGTCGACGTCCATGGATTCAGCATCGTGATCGGATGTATATGACACTGCTGTATCGGTCAAGGTATGACCGGAAGGCTGTAAAACGGGGCGCACCCCGATACCTGGATCCACTGTTGTCGGTTGGTCCTTGGCCTTGGCATCGGCAGTGGCACCCATCGAAACGTGGTCGGACATAGTGAGCACTATCTGAAATAAGGAACATTTTCGCATGGTCTTGTGATCCAGTGTTGCTGTTCGCTCGAATATGTGACACTTTTGATAAAAAGAAGGGTGAAGAAGGAAGTAAAGAAGATGTATGGAATGTATGCTAGGAGATATTCTGAACTGAAGCGAATGGAAGGAGGTGTCGGCGGGACGTAATGCGAGCTTTAGCTGAGTGTCTCCTTTCTGACCGGTTGTTATACTTAGTGTGGGACGTATGTATACAAAGGGCGGGAGGCCTTGGAAAAGTACCTAGTGACCCCGGAAAACGGGTTACATCCGACCGCGTCTGAGCAAAAAGAGCACCGTCTGGCCGAGCAGGAGGTTTCCGCCATCACATCCAAAGTGGTCCAGCTGATGTTCAAGTTGCGGAAACCGGCTATCATATGTATGACGACGTCAGCCCTACTGAACTCTACTGACAAGGGAGGCATCTTCCATGGCCTTCTGCAGGACTGCCACACGGTCATCGGGGACAACGCTTCGCATATTCCTGAGCCGGAATTCGTGGCTATCACGAATCGCCTCTGCAATGCTCGCCATGTCTGCATTAGTGAACTCCTCGGCGCTACTACACGCAGGCTGTAATTGTCGTTCTGTCTTACATTACTCTGGGGTAAGAGGGCAGGTAGAAATCCTCCTCGTAAACGCGGCCCTTACCCGTCGCGTTCTACAGAACACCAATTTACTAAGGGGCTGGAGCGCGCCGTGAAGTAGTCAGCCGCAGAGGGAATGGTACAACTGTGAACTCGGTCAAGGTATGACCACGGGTTATAAGGGCGACCGCGCCCGGTGGTGGGTTCGAAGCTATTGCTGAGGAGTGTCAGCATCAGTGGCCTAGTAGGTGACAATCTGAAGTTTCAGAGGGAGTTCATGCGTCTTTTGAATCGAGTATTATATGGGTGGGTTGGGGCCGGGCTGCTGCAAGTATCCTGAGGGGTAAAATGAGACCGGGAGTAACCTGGAAGGATGCAGTCCTCCGCTTGACAACCCACTAACGCTGATGTCTCCTTTTCAGGGAGCCAAGGTGTTGTAAATACTGGTCCGCTCAATAGATGACATTTTTTGACTTGATTCATATGTACCTTCTTTGGTGGGGATTCTGGTGAGGAAATGCTAACGATGACAACGTGGGGGTGTTTGACTAATACCACTCGGAACTGCCCGAGCCACGGCATACACAGCTTGGACGAGAGTCCTAGGGGCGGGGCAAAGTTTCTGAGGTAGACCCTGTCGCCAACTTTCACCTCCAAGGGGGCTAGATGACTTTTATCGTACTGCGCTTTATACCGTTCGCGCTGTTTCATGTTAAAATTGTACGCATATTGCCAAGCTGAGTGGAGTACTGGGAGTAGGCGCTCAATGTAAGCACGTGCGGTGTTTTCAGAAGGGACGTGGCGCTCTTCCTGGTAACGTATTATTAGGTCTACGTTAAAAGTTGGATCTCTTCCAAACATCATGAAGAAAGGGGTGTTGGAGGTGCTCGTATGGGTGGAAGTGTTGTACATAAAGG